GTAATTAATGTCAGTTGACTAAAAAACAAACCGAAAACCTCCCTGATGTATGTAATTATTTATAGTTTGAATTACTTTCAAATGATACCGCATAAACCTACCAAAATATTTTAATGCCAAAAAAAATATATTATGTTCAATGTACTATTTATCTTTGTAAACTTAATTTCTCGGCAGCCCTCCTAATCTCCAAATGCCCGAACAGTTTGTGCATCTTTTTTTAAAAAAAATTAATTAAATAATTTATTTTTAGTTTTCAGCATTCACTTCCATAAGATTTTGAGTTCCAAATTTTCTTCCCTTCCCCTCCCCCCACCCCAAGATGGCATACAATCTGATGTAGGCTCTCATATGCATTCATATTAAACATATTTTCACATTAGCCATGTTATGAAGAAGAATTAGAGTGAATGGGATAAACGACAAGAAAGAAGAAACAAAAAACAAAAAAAGAGAGCAAATAATATGTTTCGATCTGCATTGAGACTCCATAGTTCTTTCTCTGGATGTGGATAGCATTTTCCATCATGAGTCTTTTGGAACTGTCTTAGGTCCTTGCAGCGTTAGTCATCGCACGACATGGCTGTTACTCCTGGCTCTGCTCGCTTCACTCAGCATAAGTCCGTACAGGTCTTCCCAGGTTTTTCTGAAGCCCACCTGCTCATCATTTCTTATGGAACAATCATTTTCCATTATGTTTATATACCACAGCTCGCTCAGCCATTCCCCGATTGATGGGCGTCCCCTCAATTTCCAGTTCTTTGCCACCACAGAAAGAGCTGCCGTAAATGTTTTTGTCATGTGGGTCCTTTTCCTGTTTGTGTGATCTCTCTGGGATGCGGACCTAGAAGGGCTATTGCTGGTCACAGGGCTCGTGTGTCTTTCTCAGTGGTGGTCTGTTGCTTAGTTGGTTGGCTTGGTGTTGAGGCCAAGGATGTGGGCCGATTTGAGATTTTGCATGAGTAGAGTGAGCTTCTTGCAGTGATGTGGTCTCCTGCCCCATTCACTCAGCTTGTACCCTGCCAATGTCTGTCATTTGGAGAGCGCGATCTTGTGAAAATATAATGGAGCGGTGTTTAGATCTTGTTTTGCATGTGCATTGCGTGTATTGCCTTTTCGAAATGTACTTCAGTGTTTTCTTTATTGTTTCTTACTGCGTTATCTGGCCAGATGTGATGGTGGTGGTTTGGTGGAGATAGCAGTGAGTAAAGTCTGCTACAGATGAGGTCAGCACTGTGGCCTGGAGACGTCATTTAGGACACAGCAGAAAGACATCTCTCGGAGTGAAATGAAGGCCCTTTCTATGGTGCTGTCAGTGTTGAGGCGCCGTCCTGTGCCAAGGTGGCAGCATCTGTCAGAAACTACCAGGCTGGCCCCTTCTTCGTGTTTTACTGTCAGGGTCAGTTTGATTGCTCCAGTGTAAGCAGCTTCATCGTATGAGAGGGAAGCTGTGTTTTTCATTATGGAAGGATAGCTTTTTGTTCCTTTCTTAGGATGAGTCAGAAGCAGCGGAAGAGATGATCTTTGAATTTGGCAGCTCTTGTTTTAGAATAGAAATCTTGGCAGTTTTCAAGAAAATCATAATGTTTCAGTTTTGAACTTTAACGTATCTTGAACATAAGCAGCGGAACATTTTCTACTTGAAGCTGATCACATGTGCTTCATTAATTTATTCTCTGTTTGGGCAGCCAGTTTCATGCTTCAGCGACTGAACAGTTGTCCTGTTTCAAGCCCAGTGGTATTTATTATCTGTTAGTGAAGAGAATTACTCTTGACTAATTTGGCTGAATTTTTGAATTTTGTCCCTTAATTTTGTTCTCTGTGCCCTCTAGAACCTTCCTTCTCTTGACGTCTTAGCCCACTTGCTCTTGTGCTGGTTTCAAGGCATTGCATCCCTGGACACTCTCTCCAGTCTCGGATACGCCTTCTCTCCATGCTCCCCATGACATAATTTCAGAGGGAGGGTTGTTGGTGGGCATGTGCCCTTCTGAAGTACCTCCCAGCATGAGCTACCCAGCCTGTTTGACATTGGGGCACCTCTCATTGTTAGGAGATTCTGCGATCTCAAGCCTAAGTTTGCTTCAGTAACTTCTCCCCATTATGACAGGTCCTGCCCACTGGCCACTCACAAGAGGCCTTCGCCCTTTTCCATGTGATGGTGGACCGGGTCATGGAAGGCAGCCATTCTGCTCCCCGGGGGTCTTCCCTCCTGCAGGTGGAGTATCCCCTGTTCCTTCTGAATCCACAGTGCATGAACAGGAGGCCTCTTACCCTGGTGGTGGCTCTCTTGTGTGTGTGCTTTAGCTCACTCGGGCCAGCGGTACCTGGATTAATGAATGTCTGAATTGTAAACAGAGTCAGTTTGGTGCATAGGAGGCTGGAGGAGAGGGGCTATTTTATTCAGTAGATGCAGTGCTTTTTAGTCGTCAGCCAGCAGCAGACAGTAGTACAGTCATCATCTCATGCTTGCCATCATTTTGGTGCTTTGAGAGGTGGTCCAGATGTGGTCTGTGGCTAGATATTACTTGTGAAACCCTGTTTGTTCCTTAGGGGCAGTCATTGAGGGCGCCTTCAGTTCAGGGGGAGACACTCACTAGGATTTTGTAGAAGTGAGTGAGGAACACAGAGGCTGGTAGTTATTGATGATCTCTTGATATCTCTCTTTTTTTTTTTTGGTATGAATAAGGTCTGACATGTTTTCCATGCCTTTGGTATCTTCCCTTCCCTCGGCTACTCTGTATGTTGGCCGGCCCCTCAGCACCCTCAGAATGATGTTGCTGCCAGCATGGGTCTCCTCTCAACACATACGCTTGCTGTCATCTTTCTACTTTTCCCATAGTCAGTCTTTTTTTTTTTTAACAATTCTTTAAGTTTTGAGTTATCAATTCTTTCCCTCCTTCCAGACCTTCCCCCACCCATTCAGAATATGATATTGATGCATAGCATGTGTCCACATTCACCATATTGCAAAAAAAAGGAAAGAAAAATGAAGGTGAAAAAAGTTTACTTTGGTGTACACTCAGAATCCACCTGTCCTCTCTCTGGAGGTGGAGAGCATTTTTCGTTATGAATCCTTTGCAGTTGTCTTGAGATCATTGTCTTGATCAAAGTAGCTAAATTTTTCACAGTTGATCATTGTACGATATTGCTGTAACTGTGCACAATGTTCTCCTGGTTCTGCTCACTTTACTTTGCATCAGTTCACTAAGTCTTCCCAGGTTTTTCTGAAGCGATACTGCTTGTCATTTCTTATAGCAAAGTAATATTCCATCATAATTCTGTACCACAGCTTGTTCAGTCATTCCCCAAGTGATGGGCATCTCCTCAACTTCCAGTTCTTTGCCACCACACACAGAGCTGCTATAAATATTTTTGTACAATTTTTTTGTTTGTTTTTTCTTTGCTCTTTCTTGGCTCTCCTTGGGGTATAGCCCTTGGTGGCATGGCTGGGTCAGAGAGTGTGCCCAATTTAATAGGCCTTTGGGCATCATTCCAAATTGCCCTCCAGAATGGATGGCCCAATTGCCGTCTCCCCCAGCCATCTGAGAAGCTTTTCCTTTTGTCTTTGTAGTCCCTCCATTTCAACCTTAATGCCCTTGGGGTGCCCTGCACTTAGGATTGAGTGATAACTTGCTGAGTTTTCCTCTCCATTGCGTTTCTCTGCTTCCTGGGATGAAATTGGCTGTAATCACCCACCATCTTTCTTCTTAGTGTTTTATAGATGAGCTTATGTTTCACTTGGGGCCTTTGGTGGCTTAATCAGATCTTTGCCTTCTGGCCTCTTTGGTCTCTGGATTGGGGCCTCAGTTTACTTTGGCTAAACCTCTGGACAAAATGATCATAGTTGGTATCCACTCTGCTTTTGTTGAAATTCATGATCCGCTTAAGAAAAAAATTTGAAATATTGTTTCCTCTATAAATTTTCAGAGTTTCTCCCTTCTTTGTGAACTCTCCCCCAACCCCACTTTCCTATGCTCCACTCTAATGAACTTCTCATCTATTTTTTTGTATTATTATCAACATTTTCTGTGTATTTTATGCTCTCCCTAGACAGTAAACTCCATCAAGGCAGGCAGTTTGGTTCGCCCCATTGGCAGTGAAGTCTTAGCGCATGTTTGTGGAATGAACTGAACTGAAGAGCAGTGGTATTCCAGGCTGAAATCAATGACTTTTTCTCAAACCAGGGGTTCACAAAATGAAAGATTGTATGAAAGTCTTCAAATTCTAGGACTAGAAATTCAGTTAAATTATAAAGAATGTTTTAAAAAATATGATACTGTGTAACATAAATGGTATTTTTTCATGAATCTACTCCATTGTAATGATAAGTATATACGTCTTAGTTTATGGTATATGTTATAGTTTGCAGTTTTACTCTCCTGCTTTGTAAAATCCCTATTATTGAACAAAACAGAAAGCAATTTCTAGGTAAATTGTATTTTTGCAATAATTTTCATGATAAAGTTAAACATGTACCTGTTTATAAGTTAAATTGAAAACTTTTCTTAAGAGAAGCTAGACACTTGCATCGTAGTGCTTTTCCTGTATCAAATGTAGAACTTTGTCTGGTTGTCTAGTTGAGAAAAACAATGAATACATAAAGAAACTAATTTCTTGGGGCAGCTAGGTGGTGCATTGGATAGAGCGAGGGGCCTGGAGTCAGGAGGACCTGAGTTCAAATCCTGTCTCAGACACTTGACACTTACTAGTTGTGTGACCCTAGGCAGGTCACTTGACCCCAATTGCCTCCCCCGCCCCCCCAAAAAAGAAACTAACTTCTCGTCCTCATCAGTAACTGTGGAGACCTCATTTCTTTCTTTTTTTTTAACCCATACAAATGTAAGAACATTAAAAATCATGGAAATGACCTTGAACATTTCTTGAGCGACTCTTGAATTGGACAGTAATGAATTTAGTTGTTCTTCCTCGCTGATAAAGCTGACTTTTGCATCTTTTTTCCCCAGTAGGATGTGAGTTAGGATTCTTTTTGTTTCTTCCAGCCACATCGTCCTGATGCTTGCTGATGACATGGCATGTAACTCCAGAAATCCTAAGCCGGCGACTGTGTTCAGTCACAAAAACATGGAACTGAACGTTTATGGAGATGACGTGGAAGTTGATTACAGAAGCTATGAGGTAAATGATTTAATTTAGAAATATGTTTTTACATTTTATGATGCCTTTCGTGAACCCTAAATTTATATTGTTTTTCATGCATTCTTAGTTCTTAATTCCACCGCCAAGATAGGACCGATTTCATTCTCCCCTCTATTCCTCCACTGCACCTAGGGGGCTTTTGTTGTCTTTGTTTCAAGGCTGGGGCATAAGTGCAGTGGGTCAAAATTTATTATCCCGTTAGCTTGAAGTTATTTTCTGTGCATACTCAATGAACTTATAATGAAAGTAATCAATTCAAATGTTGGAACCAAATAACGTTTTCCTTCCCCTGAGTTTTAAGGACTCTGGGTATCAGCTCCCCCTTTAAAAAAATAGACACCAAGAGCTAGGTGGTGCCGCAGATAGAGCACTGGCCCCGGAGTCAGGAAAATCTGAGTTCAAATCTGCCCGCAGACACTCACTAGCTGTGTGACTCTGGCCAAGTCAGTTAACCCTGATTACCTAAAAAAACCCCAAAACCAAAAAAATAGGTAGCAGCCAGCTAGTATTTTTCTAATATTCTGTTTTCCTAAGCAGTCTACATGTGTCTGTCTTTGTATTCTGGAATGATTCATTCTTGCTATTTACTCAAAAGCACTGGTTATTGCAAAGAATATGGGAAGACCTAGGGAAGGCTCACAGAGCACAGGACATGGGATTTTGGAGCCGCTGAGGTCCGTCTGTTCAGAGCTTGGCCCAGGTCTCGGACACATGGAGTCCAGATGCAGCCTCCGGTTCCTATTAGGATCTATGGCACAAAATCAAGTGGTTCAAGGATCCATGACTTTCTCTGCATGAGTATGCCCTTCAGCCGTGCACATCGTCCCCCTTCTAGACAGATGGCCGGAATGAGTACTGGATGCGTCCTCCGAAGTCTTCTGGTCCCCTGCACAGGCCTCTCGTTGATCTCAAACCTGCCTGTCTCCAGTCACCAGCTTGTCCGCCTGGCTCTGCCCCTCGGGGCTGGAGCGACCCATGACTCTTTGCTCTCCCAGCCCCCACCATCAGTCAGCCGCCACGTCTAGCTGTCCTTGATCTCATTGTAACCGGAAGTGTTCCATGTCCTCAGTCCGTAATTTGGAAATTCTTCTGTTTTGGCCATATCCCTTTGTCCTTCTACTTCTAACTGTGCCTCACTGCAACCTGCAGGCATCCCACGGCCCCTCTGCTTTCTCAGGCTGTCCCCTTGCTCTGGCCTTGCTATTTGACCTTCAAGACGCGGACCCTGAAGCCGGTTCAGCTTCAGGACTGCTGGGCCCCCGAATGCTTTGCCCTATCAGCTTACTGTAGCTCATCCCCCCACCTGCCCCTGCTCAGCTACTGCTGAACGTGGCTGGAGAAGGTACAACTGTGTTGACTGGGTCCCCTCAGATTTAGATTAGCTGGTTTCGGCTGGGCCCTCCGCAGTCTTGTTTCTTGAACACTTCATGGACTCTGTATCACTGACCCCAGGCCACCTGCACCCCTCTTCCCACTCCTCTCAATAGAGGCCCCCTCCTCATGCTCCACAGGAAAGAAAAGAGGGTGCCATTTACGTGGCCCTCCTCATCTTCCTAGTTCACTATTTCCCTCCTGCCCTTCATCTTTGCTGTGATCTTACAGGACCTGGTGTTCCTTCCCTTGAACATGCATGCTTTTGAACCTCTCTCCCCGGGTCTCTCTCCTCCTTGCTGGTTCGTCCTTTGGGGCCCTCCATCAGACATGCCCAGCAGAGCTCCTAATGCCCACGTCTGACCAACTCTCGTGGCCTCCAGGATCATTCAAACAGTCTTACCTGCCTTTCCACCTTTCCTGCCCCCGTATCCCAGCTGAGCCAGCCTCATGTTCCCCAGATGCAGGATGCCACCCTGCCTCGTGGGGCTTCACTCTGACTGTCCTCTGTGCCAGGAATGCTGGGAAGGTGACTGGCTCCTTTGTTTTGCAGGTCCTTTGCCTCATTTCTCAGCTGAGGTCTCCAGCAGCTTGCTCTGGGCCGTGTGGAACATTATCTCTTCTGGACACTCTGGCCCAGACTGGCCTCTTCGGGGTCACATCCACCTGCCCGCTGCTGGTCTCAGCCTTTTCCGCAGGTTGGTCGCCATCCTTGTCTTGCCCTTTTCTGTGGCTGTTCCCCAGGGCGCTGTCCTGGGCTCATCTCCCTCTCATCATCATTTCTGCAGATCCAGCAACCGCATGAAGCATCCCCGTCTGGCCTGCTTCCCACATCTCCAGCCGGCCACAGTCCATCCCAGTGGATGTGCTGTAGGATCTCCAGCCGGGTGCTTCCCCAAGGGAGGCAGTGGCTTTTCCTTCCCCACCTGCCTCTGCTCTCCTCCCTTCCTCGTTTCTTGTCCCTTTGGTTAATGACTTGGAGTCCTCCGTGACTCTTCACCCTCTGAGGGCTCCATAGGTCACAGTGAGTCCGCCCTATCCTTGGCTCCTTCCGCATCCCCCTCTTCTCTCTAGTCCAGACTCTCACCACATCCAGCCTGGAACATTGCGAGGGCCTGATTAATCCCCCACCTCAGGTTTCCAGTTCCTTCTTCAAATAGCTGCCAGATTGGTCTGACTGCATGGCTCCCATCTTCGTGACGTTTCAGGCACCTCATTGCCTTTTGGTCGAATAGAAGGCCCTCTGTTGGCGTCTAAAGCCCATGGCAGTCGGGCCCCATCCTGGCTTTCTAGATCCGAGCCTCTTATTCCCCCTCACCTCCTCTGTCCTCCAGCCAAGCGGGCCTTCTTGCTTGTAGATGACCTTCCACATCACCCCCTCTCGGGCCCTGCAGAGACTGCCCCCTGGGCCTGGAATGCCTCCCCCACTCCCTGCTTTGGAGCCTCTGGCTCCCTGCCAGGCACAGCTCAAGCATGGTCTCCTTCAGGGGCCTTTCCCCATCCGCCCAGTTGTCTGTTTTCCCTAATCTCCCTCCACATTGTGTTTCTTTCACATGGATTGTATGTTGGCTCCCTCCAAGTAGCATATAAGGTCCTTGAAAGCTGGGACCCTGTCCTTGTTTGTATTTATTGGCCTAATGCCTATCACAGCACTCGTTATACCTCATGCTCTTAACAAAGGCAGATTGATTGATCGTCCATTCTCCTTCATCCGACCCTTCCCACTCAGATGTCCACTGCCCTAGGTCGGTTCCTCATCGCTTTTTGCAGTAATTTTGTGATTCTTCTCCTTCCTTCTCTAGATGAGAAATGATTCATTTGCATCCCTCTCTATCCCAGTCAGTAATAATCAGTTTGATATTTTGCATAAATCATATAGGGATAATTAGATGCGATAGGTCCTCAAACCTAGTAGGCTGCAAACTTTAACCCAGTATTCACCACCTGTTCTCCAGTTAGGAAGCTCACTTGTGCAGCCTCAAGAATGCTGACAAAGAGATCTCCATCCTGTTCTGCTCAAATTCCACGTCCAACTCGGATGTGGGTAGGGTGCGTTGTTTCTTTGGAAAGCCCTCCAACTTACTTTTTACTACTGGAGCACCCTGGCTTGTCAGCCATGAGCAGGTGACTGTCTTAGGACCACTTAGTCACTGGAGATGACCCTTCCTTGCCCATCTTGTGACCACTTCATCAGCAGGGATGTCCTGTGCTTCACCCAGCCTGTGACCTCCCTGTTAATATGTCGCTTTTGGCTCTCAAGAGCAAGTTCTATCACTCAGTGAGATTCTGTATCTTAGCACACCTCTTTTGCATATTTGGGCATCAAACCCTAGAAGGTCTTGGGGACCAGGGGCATCTCAGATCATGAGGAAGGTCTGAAGTCCACTTCATTAGAGGGAGCCTTCACTGACCCTTTAATCAAGTGCTTTTGGCTTAGAACTCTGCCTCAGTGGTTTTTTTTGCACCTTGGACAGTTCTGGCCCCCACATCTCATGCATCCTCCACATAGTAGGCAAACACTCTTCCTACAGCACAGTCTGATAGTGTCTGTCTTTTGTTCAAGACTCTCTGTTGCCTTCCTGGTCCTTGCCTCCAGGATAAGAAGCAGACTTCTCGGCTTGCCTGCCTCCTGCCTCTGTCTCACGCCCATCACCTTTCCTGCGTATGTTCCCACCATCCTGGCCTGCTTCCTCTTACCCAGTTGGTCTCATCCCTCTCCCCACTTTGTGTGTAAATCTTGACCATAGGCCTTGTCAAAGATATGACAGCCCAGCCTGATCCTTTGGTTTTTCAGTTGTAGGGTTCTGCCCACGGTGACACGTAGGCTGTTCTCTCTCCCTCTTTTTTTGGATCTCCTAACCCTGTAACAAAAAGGAAGTGTGCTTGATTAGGTATGATCCATCCTTGAAGAACCCACATTGGCTTTCTGTGCTCATTCCTTTTCATTCTGTTGACCAATCCGTGGATCAGTGAAGAGGTGTAGATTGAGCACACGTTTGGGCCAGTGTTAAACAGTCTCTTCTAGAATTCTCTAAGAGGTCAAGGCCCAACTTGCCATCCTGTTTGCACATTCTAGTCTCTTCCCAGTTTGGAAAGTCAGGACAGCCACACCTGGCCCTCTGCAGGCCAGGCACCATTCCCCCTTCTCAGCCTGTGATGGCTAAAATGGTTCATTGCCTGGTGACTGACGGAGGAGCTCAGCCCAGTGCCTGGCACATAGTAGGTACTTTCTGAATGCTTATTCCATTCTACCAATTTCCCATGACACTTCTGTTTGTACTGAGCAGCAGATGCCAACAAGGCCCCTCGGAGCCTTCTGAGGACCGGTCCCCTCCCTGCAGTCATGAGGCCATGAAGAGACACTTGTTTGTTTTCACAGAGTGCTCATTTGTTAGTAAGGGCCTGGTGAGCGATCCTTAGGATGGAAACATCCAGAGCTGTGTACCACATGGGCTTCATGACAGCGTTTCCCGTGATGGCCCCAGGAGTGATCAGCGGGAGTGTCCGGACCAGGGCCTTCTCCTTCCTTTGGCCAGTCTTGGCTGGGGTTCTGGCTAGACCTGTTGCAGTGAGGCAGGCTCTAGGGTCGACAGCAAAGGAGCTGCCGTGCCAGCTTGGGCAACCTGCTGGTCCTTTCTGGCTTTGATTTTGTGGCCTGTGAGGTTCGGACTCCTTCCAAGAGTGGCTTCAAGGCATTCCCAAAGCTGCGTTTGTTAAGTGATGTTGGCCCTTTTTTGAGCCCTAAGCCCTGGGCCAGTGACCCCTGCAGGAAGGCCTCTGGAGACAAGAGCCTCTTCCCTTGTGAACGGCAGGGCCCAGAGTCCCTGGGTCTGACTGCCATCTCCACGTGGTCCCGTGCGCCAGCTTCCCATCTGCTTCTTAGTGGGGTTTGTACAGTGTGGGACTTGGTGATTGGGCATCTGGTGCTGCGGAGGGGCAGATCAGTGCATGGAGAAGCCAAAGAGAAACCGATCTCATTTCATGTGGCCCTTCATCGGCATGAGTGACTGGCAGTGGATTAAGGACACTCTAAGAGCCACGCCCGTGCGCCCACATTGGGGATTCTGGATAGCTCCACCACAAGGAGAGCATCTGGAGGATTTGACTTTGAGATGTGTGCATTACTTGGTGAATCCGTCCAAGGCAGTTGGAGGCATTTCTTTCTTTTCTTTCTTTCTTTCTTTCGTTCTTTTTTTTTTTTTTGTGAGGCAATCAGGGTTAAGTGACTTGCCCAGAATCACACAGCTAGTGAATATTATGTGTCTGAGGCCACATTTGAACTCAGGTCCTCCTGACTCCAAGGCTGGTGCTCTATCCACAGCACCACCTAGCTGCCCCTGTTGTAGGCATTTCTTAAAGCACCCACTACCTCTTTCACATCATTTAAATATTAGACTGGCTTGATTCATTTCTCCATGGTGACCTAGAGCACATTTAGGGTTAGGGTTAATAATTTTACAATTTTTATAAAATATCCAGTGATGCAGACATTTGTATGGCTCTATCTTTAGTGACTACAAGAAAGGAGAAGTCTTTTTAAAGTAAGTTTTATCATTACTAATATTATAAATTGTAAATGTTGTCATATTCTAAAATAGTAGTATGGAAAAGCAGGAGGGAGAAAAAAATCATTAGACTGATTTTCCAGAGCCAGAAATGGGCTGATAGATATTTTTTTCAGGTGACTGTGGAGAATTTTTTGCGTGTGTTAACGGGGAGAGTTCCACCTAGCACTCCTAGATCCAAACGTCTTCTTTCTGATGATAGAAGCAATATTCTGATATATATGACGGGTAAGTCAAGGATTTCGAGTGGGTTTGACTTGATTTTGCTGAATATCTTTGAACTTTTAGGGCAAGAATTTTATCAGAACAGAAAATTACTTAAAATAAAAATTAGGTACATTTTGAATAATAATTTGCTGTCATATAATTGCATATTAGAGTGAATTTACATGTGCATAATTATGTGAATGGCCATCCCTAAGCTGAGATGGCATCCTTTGCCATTTTTTATTTTTACTTTTATTTTTCATAACATTGCCTGGGAGCAGTGAACCCATCTATCAGAATGGGAAGCAGAACCTCCCTGATGTTTTCCACTTTGACTTAGCCAAGTAGTGGCCGAGCTACTGAACTGAGCTAACCCGTCTCCTGGGTAAATTCTCATCCAGTCATTTGGTATTATGTTCAGTATAACTCGTTGTCCAGCATTGAGAACTTACAGGAAGCAAATTGGGGAATGAATGATTGTGACATATTCGTCAAGGACTTTTCAGGCCGGACTATGGCGTGTGTTAGCACAGTGCGATCTGCTGGCCTCCTACGTGTTCTCAGTCAGCCTTGTGTGATACACAGGTGGTCATTTCTGAGAGTTATGCCTTGAAGGAGGAGATGATACCCACGTGGTGGGAATAAACACCCTTGATCCTACGGAGTTGGAGGCTGATGGCTGGAGATAAACCAGAGATGGACATGTTTGCAGTGAAAACAAGACTGCCCCTGTATCTCCCAGGAATCTTGGCCCTGGTGGTGGCTTGTAGTGCCCAGCACACTGTCCATGATTGGCTGGATTGGCCTAGATGGTGGCCTCTACTGGGAAGGTAGAGTGGCAGCCTCATAGAACCAGAAGGCACTTCAGAGGCTGTGGGGCTCTAGCCAGCCCTGGCCACAGTCTCATCTGTAACATTGTGGACAAGTGGCAGTCAGCCTTTGCTTCAGCATCTGAGGGCCGGGGAGCCCATATCCTCCTGACGTATCTGCTTTTCGACAGAGCTGATTGCTGGTGGCTTCCTGCACACCAGCCAAGTCTTACATCTTCCTCACTGCTCTGGCTTTGCCCTTGGAAACTAGCTGAGCTTGTCCAGGCCTTCTTTTATGTGATGAGGCTGCGGAGGATGGTCAGCCATTCTCTACCCCCTCTCCCTGCCACTTCATCTTTAGGTCTGAGTCCTGTGATGCTGTCTCCAGACCTCTCTGTCTGCTGGGGATAGTCTTTTAGACATCATTGTTGAGATGATGTTTGTAACACTCCTAGTGCCTGGCACATAGTAGAAGCTAGAGAAACAGTCCTTCCCTCTCCTCCTCCTAGACATGCATCTTTCCTAAAACATGGCCATCTGTTGATCTGTTAGGGACATTCTGCCCTGCCCATGGACACTTACTTCTGATTTTGGGAGGGAGCTCAGTGAGAGGAGGGGGGTTTGCCATGCTTTTTTTTTGTTTTCTTGTTTGGCAAGTTTTCTTTAAATTGAGCACTGTTGGCAGAAAGAAAGTTCCAGGAGTTGGGGATCTGAAATTCAGAATTTATTCATCCATCTTGATTCCCGTATCAATGAAAATTTGAAAATCCAGTTCACCTCTTGCAGAGTTAACTGTTTTAGGGGGTAAAAATGATATCTGAAAGCCCATTGATTATTCACAGAAGAGTGTCTTGGCTGTGAATTCCCTGTTAGTAAAACAAAAATAAATGTGCACATGCACGTACACATGTGTACACACACACACACACACACACACACACACACACACACACACACACACACACTCACACAATCTCACACGTCCACCCAGTAATTTACTGTTTTCTTTTTCCACAAGGCCATGGTGGGAACGGCTTTTTGAAATTCCAGGACTCTGAAGAAATCACCAATGTTGAACTTGCTGATGCATTTGAACAGATGTGGCAGAAGAGACGGTAAGAAATCACTTATTTTCCTAAGATAAATTGGGCAGAATGTCCTAGGAACTCAGAGTGGGAGGGTTCTTGGAGGTCTAGTCAATGAAGAGGGAGGGAGCTTGCCCCAGGGACAGAGAGGCCGAGCTCCACTGAAAGCCTGTGGCCTCCATGCTCAGTTAGGTCCATGTCCTGTTGGGATGTGGGCTGAGTTTTTAATTAAACTCAGTCACCATGTGTCAAGTGCTTACTCTCTTCAGGGAGCCCTGAGGACTGCTGGGTAAATGAAGCTGCCCTGTTCCTCCCAGAGGTTAGCACCTTGTCCTGGGGGGGAGACATTTCACTAATAAGAAGAATACAAATTAGAAATAGTCTGAAGGGCAGATCCTTCTGAGGACTCTGAGAAGCTCCAGGATGGGAATTGAGGGTCCGAGTTAGACCTTCAAGAAAGGGAAACATTTTAATACATGGAGTTGGATGGAGGGAGGTGTCCACTCTAGTCATGAGAGCTGTGGGAGGAGGGAACGCGCTGGGAGATGGTGAGCTATGGTTTGGTGCAGTGGCGGCTGTGGTCAGGGGAAGAGGGCTGGGAGACAGGGACCCAGACTCTGGGCAACCTTCAGTAGCAGCTACATGTGCCCAACTTGGGAAGGTCATAGGGAGTCACTGAGGGTGATTGAGAAAGGGTCTCTGTGGCCAGAGAGCCTAGGACACACAGAGAGGCAGGGTGATTGATTAGATAAGAGCACTTTAAAGTTTATAAAGCAAATTTACATTTCAGAAATACTATCTCATTTTTATCTTCACAACCACCCTGGGAGGTAGGTGCTGTTATCCCCATTTTACAGGTGAGGATATTGAGGCAGGCCGAGGGGCAATGACTTGCTTGTGAAATGCTTTACAACCTTAAAAGTGCGAAGTAAATGTTAAATGTTTGGTGATGGCGATGGTGGTGGTAGTGCAGAATTATCAGGAGCAGGCAGGAGAAGATGGAGGGTGGACATCAGAGGGCCCCTCCCCAACCCTCCCTGCTTCAAGGAGGGCACCCAGGGGATTCTTCTCATTGTCTCCCACCTGGCTGCTCTCCCGGACTTGATCATCTCCAGAAACTCATCTTTCTGCAAGATGACATCGCAGAGGCTTGCCTACCTCAGAATATGTTCCCTTCCATTCCTTCCCCCCACCCCCACCCCTTTGTCTCCCCATTGGGCCGGAGCTTCTTGAAGGCAGGGACTGTTGGTTGCCTTTCTTTGTATCCCTGGCCTAGGGCCAGCACACAGTAGGTGCTTAATCAGTGTTGATTGACTCAATACTCTTGGCAGGAAAGGGAAAGTAGCTGGGGAGGTAACACTTTGATTAACCAGTGTTCCATAGGGTGGGGTAGGATTTTAAGACTTGAGCTTGAATTGAGCCCTTTTCCAGATCTCCCTTAGAATGAATGCTGTTGAAGGGCATTGGAATTTTTAGGCCATTAAATGATTGGATGGAATTCTGCGTCCTGGGTGCTAAGAGGAAGTGGTCTGATGCCTCCCTTGTCACTGAGCCCCTTCTTGTCTTTCAGCTACCATGAGATGCTGTTTATTATTGATACTTGTCAAGGGGCATCCATGTATGAGCGCTTCTATTCCCCCAACGTCATGGCACTTGCCAGTAGCCAAGTAGGAGAAGACTCCCTTTCAGTGAGTACCTGTTTCCATTGTGGCGACACCTCGACTCTGGCTGGCTTTGTGCCGCTGCCTCTGCCTCCATCAATCACTGCCACCACTGTCTAGACAGCAGACAGATGCTCATGTTCCTCTTTCTTTTCCTTTGTCACAGCATCAGCCCGACCTTGCCATTGGAGTCCACCTGATGGATAGATACACATTTTATGTCTTGGAATTTTTAGAAGAAATTCATCCGGCGAGCCAAGCGAACATGAACGATCTTGTAAGTATGTTCTTATCTAGTTTATGATAGAGACACCAGGTGAGGGTGTCGGTATCACAAGTCCGTTGATAATCTACCAGGGATTTTGCTAAGATTTAGTATGGTTAGGGTTAGGGTTAGCTCTCTAAATACTGAGTCGTTGTCCTATGTGTTGGAGGCCTATGCTGAGGCTGTTTCGGACCCAAATCTTTTGTTTCAGGTGTATTTTATGGGAGGTGGGCACAATTTAGGAAAGGGGGGAATTGAACCTGACAGAGTAGGACTCTTTGACATTGCCACTTAAACCTGGGAAAACCTGTTTTTAAACAATTTATATATTTTTTCTAGAATAAAATTTGGGTACCTTATTGTTACAACACCTACAGGACCAAATATAGCCCTCTTCCTCCCCCATAGAACAAAAAATGAAAAAAGAGAAAAAGAGTTCAGCACCAGTAGCCAGCCTGGTTCCATGCCCATAGTCCCCCACTTGTGCAGAGCGCAGGTAGAGGCGCCTTCTCCGTCTCTTCTCTGGGCTTTTATGACGGCAGTTACTGTTGTTGCTGTCATACGTGTTGGTTCTGATGCTTCTTTTGGCTTCAGTTCATCCCTGTCTTCCCAGGCTTCTCTGGAGACCTCATTTCTTACAGCATGGTAATATTCGATTGCATTCATGTACCAAAATACTTTAGTGCCCATGTGAAGTTGAAGGTTCATCTTACGATAATCAGGCTTAAAGTAAAACTCTGCCGGTGGTGATACTTCCTGAAGGATAAGCCTTTGCTCCCTTTACAATTCTGTCGTGTTAATGGGGGCGTGGGTGGGGGGGTCAGCAGTGGTGCTCTCTGTGCCTTCTGCGCCATGTCTGTGTCAGGGTACACCATCTCAGACTTCTGAATTCTGGGCATCCCACGTGGCTCTTCCAGAGATTTCAGCTGAAGATGTGTCTGTCCAGAAATTTTTGTGGAAGGCTCTGCCTTGGCTCGTGGCTGGTAGGCTGCAGCCGATGTCCTTCGTGTTGAATTACCAGAACGAGCCTGAAGCCCCTGCAGCGTTCATGCCTGTGGAGGTCACAGCGGTCCTTGGAAGCCTTGCTCACATGTTGCCATTTTTCCCTTGGATGTCCTCTGGCACACTCAGTTAAGATGGCCTTTCTAGAGTGTGAGCTCTTTGTGCAGATGTCCGCTTCCTGTGTGCCCAGTGTGTCTGCCCTCCGCCTGGTGTCTGCTCTCCTGAGGGGAGGCACTTCCTGGATGTTGGTATCACTTCACTCACTTCAGGGACCTAGAAGAGCTGTGCCATCTGGCAGATTCCGCAGGCTCCTGGCCACATTTCATGACAATCCCATACGTATCTTTCATTGCTGCCATGTTGGTTTGTTCTGTGGATATGGGGGGAAAAAAAGGTTGTGTCCTTGCTTATTCCAGCCTTTGTGAACGGATTCCTGGGTGAATCAGGAGGTTGTCTTGGAGCACCATGAAGGCCTTCACTTAGGTCTCTGATTCACTTCCCTCCATGATCCCCTTCCAGCCTGGGCGAGGAAGATGAGTGTGGAGTTGGCCGAGAAGTGTCTCTGTGGAGAAGCCCTGATGGTTTTCTAGCAGGGGAGCAATGTGGTGTTTGTCACACACACATCAGGAGGATGTGGAGGGCCTCGATGGAATCAGTGTAGGAGAGTGAGAAGGTCCTTATCCAGTCCTGGCTTGAAGGCCTCCCCCTTCCTCCCACTTGATTAGAAAGTTTGTCCTGGAGCAAGCCTGACTTTGCCCAATTGTCCCCTCTGCCTGTCGGGGCTCCTGTCCAAGCCAGGCCGCCACGAGATCCCTTCGATACCTGATGACTGAGCAGGGCCTTGCGCCTTCCACCACCCAGGTCTTCTGTTTTACTGGCTGAATATCCCCACTTAGCTCTACCTTTAACCAGTGCCTGCAGGCCTTTCTCCATTCTCAGTGTCTTGCCTTACCCACTTCCTACCTTACCCGGATGCTCCTGGACTGTGGTGCCCAGAGCAGACCCAGCTCTGCCTCCTTCCTTCTGGACGCCACTCGCTCCATCTGTCTATCTCTCTTTGTGCAGCCTGAGCTTGCTTGGTGTTCTTTCCTGTCACGTTGTGGACCCCCAATCCCCCAGGTCTTCTGTCAGCACCGCCGCTGCCTGGCCACGCTTCCCTCATCTCAGCCTTGGGGAGTCAGTTTTTGGAAGAAAGGTGTAAGATTTCTAGGGGATTGCATCATCACACATTTTTTTCAACGACTTGGACAAATACTAGTAGAAGTCTTCAGATGCTTTTGTTCTGATTGATCCTTTTTCTGAGCCTGTGTACGTAGTAGATAACCTACATTCCTAAACTTGGAACACACTTGTTTTTCTTTTCGTTCTTTCTGTGTTTCTCTCTCTGTAAAATATGTGGTGTAATTGTTTTGATAATTTAAAATTAATTTTAGTGACATTCCTAAAAAAGAGTTTGCATCATTTTATCTTGGGGAGAGCTGGTGTGGAGACCTTGGCTTCCATGAGGAAATCTTTAGGACTGGCTTGGAAAAGGTTCAGGAGCAAAGACAACTTTGATGCTGAATGCTTTGAAAATTCATTGACAGTTTTGTTCTAGGAAAGCAGTTGATCTCTACATATACCTGTACACACATGTGTACACACATGTACACACACATAGATTTTTCAAAGGTGCTATAGAGGTGTGTACACGCCCACTGTGCCTCACGGTGTTGTGGGGACCCGATAAGTGATCTCTCAGATCAATGTAATTGAAATACAAAATCTTTGTAACCATTTGACACTGCTCTATCTGGCTAGGTTATAACTTCCCCAGGGTTCAGTGGGTACAAATATTCCATATTTGGAACTGGTCGAGTTCTTCTAGAAGAGTAATTAAAATGAGTACTGCTGTAATTCAGGAATTGTGGGGGACGCTGTGGCCAAAGGTTGATATAGTCAGGAGTGGGGAGAGGGTCAGTCCTTCAGTTGACATGCATTTCTTACGCACATTCTGTGTACTGTGATCAGCCTGCCTTGTGGTAAGTGGTTCTCAGAAAGGCTCCAGGTTAGCAGAAAGAGACAGGACCTCGTGGGTTCTGTAGGCGCATTCCAGATCCTGTCCAGCCATAAGAGGGGCCCGTGGTGAGGCAGTGCCCCGGAGGCAGGGTGACAGTAGCTGCCCAGGGCTGTTGATGATCACGCCTGGTGAAATGGCTGAGAGTTATCAGGCTGGAGTCCGTTTTAGGTTGCAGTCTATAGGAAGGATCCAGAGAGTGGTTTTGGTTAATGTAGGGCGCTAGGGCCAATCACAGGAAAAGCCAGCGTTTGTCTCTCTGCTTTTCTTGATTGGAGAAGAGGTAAAACAGAGAAGTCCAACATGCTGTCTTTTGACTCAAAAAGACCTGTCTGATGATTAATGTAGAAATACATTTCACATGATTATTTACGTAAAGCCCGGGTCAGACTGCATGCTCTTTTGGGGTGGGGGAAGGGAGAAGAATTTGGAACTCAGAATCTTATAAAAAATGAATGTTGCAAACTGTCTTTACACGTAATTGGAAAACAGTACTATTAAGTGGGGAAAAAAAGACCCGTTAGTAGTTAGTACGAATAACATTTGCTTTTTGAACTAAGTATTAGAAAATGAGGGAACAAGGGGCAGCTGGGTGGTGCAGTGGATAGAGCACTGGCCCTGGAGTCAGGAGGACCTGAGTTCAAATGCCGTGTTAGACCAGACACTTGATATTTACTAGCTGTGTGACCTTGGGCAAGTCACTTAACCCCAGTTGCCTTGCAAAAAAAAAAAAGGAAAAGAAAATGAGGGAACCAAGATCCATGTGAGTAGTTTCTGCATCAGCGCTTGCCAGTGGGAGAATACTTAGTAAACCCCAGCGTCTCCCTGTCACATCTAAAATCAAATGCAGTGCGCTCTGTCTGCTCTTCGAGGCCCCTTGTTACCCACCCAATGGCCTGTGCCTCCTGGAGCAGCTCCGCCACGCTTAATCCGCTTGACGCACAGGCTCAGACATCTTCTTTGAGAGGCCCTTGGTCCCCCCTCCCCAGGCCTCGTGTCTGGTGGTGTTGAAGGTCCCTTCAAGCTCCTGATTTCAGCGCCCTCTGCACCTCCCTTGTACAGGGGTGACTGTTGCAGAGTTCAGGGTGTGGGTTGGTTTTTAAACAATTGGAATGCCTTGCACTAGTGCCTGGAGTTTGTTGACTTTGTGTAGCATTTGGAAATGTGCACAGCATTGGTCATGTCACCATAGGAGAAAACACCGGTTGGTGCAGTGATTTGTCAGGTAGCATGCAGAATTCTTTTTTTTTTTTGGTAGGCAGTGGAGTTAAGTGATTTGCCCAAGGTCACACAGCTGGTAAGTGTCAAGTGTCTGAGGCTGATTTGAACTCGGGTCCTCGTGACTCCAGGGCCGTGCTGCAGGTAGCATACAGAGACAGGCAGGAAGGTCGCAGCTCTGTGGCCCTTTGAGATGCTGGCCAGGTGAATGTGTGGGTGGACTTAAGGGCTGCGGGTGGTTTTCTGTTTATCTTGCGTGTAGCTCGTTTGTGCACGTTTGTTTATTGTTGTTTTGTCTGCCTCATTATAGTATGAGCTCCGTGGGGGGGGTGTGTGACTTTGGCCTCTTTTTGTATTTCCGGAGCTTAGCGCAGTGCCTGGCACACAGTAGGTGCTTATTAAGTGCTTGCCAGTGGGCAGTGCTGATTCTTGATCCCCTGCTCAGGGCTATGGTGGCAGTTAGTTGCCCATCTGGCTGACCTTCGTTAACCATGTATGCAGGATGTGATAGATACTCTCCCAGGACTTGTCAGACCTGATGTTTGCAATGGACTTCGGGCCAGTCAGTCTGTAAGCACTTATTAAGCACTTACTGTGTGCCCAGGGATACAAAGAAAGGCACAAACCTCTGCTGCCCTCAAGGAGCTCACTATCTAACAGGAGAGCCAGCACATAAGTGACTAGGTCCCTACAGACCGGGCGAAAGGCAGCTGGGGAGAATGAGGGCACCTCCGTAGAAGGTGGGGTAGAGTATGGATGACAAGTAGAGATGCTAGCCGGGCAGCACGCCAGGCAAGAGGCAGGCATCAGATAATGGCGCGGGGGGGCCGAGAAAGCCTTGGAAAGGATGAGGGAGTCTTGGCAGCAGACGTGGAGCAGTGTAGGAGCCCAGCTAATGCTGTCATCATTTCTTCAGGGGCTCTGTCTCATGGGCTTTGGAGGGGAGAAGCAAATTTGGGAAGTGAAACACGAGGTTAAGAAGATGGTAACTGAGTGGGAGTGACATTTCTGGACAATTGCTTGAAATTTGGAGATGATGGGCTCTTGGCCCGGGATAGGATGCACCTAACAGGCACTGGTAAGAAAGGCCTAGGAGAGGGCTTCTGTAGTGTTCTAAGCAGGGGAGATGGTCTGGATGACCCTGGCGGCCATTTCTAGGACTCATTCTGTGTTCTCGTGACCTGATGAGCCTAGTGCCTAACAGCAAAGTCAGAGAAAGAACGGTCATTCCTTTTCCCAGAGGTTTACAGGCAACATGGTGCAGGAAAGGGGCCAGTGAGGAAACGGCAGAAATGCCGGCTTATGACCAGCCAAGAAGATGAGCTAGTGTCTAATGCAAAGAGGCCGGGAGGGGAGCCAAGCCTATTCAGAGAGAAACGAAACCCATTGCCTTTGTGTGCTAGGCTAGCCTCCTGTACAGAAGGGCAGGATTGGGATAGGGGGAGCCTTAGAGTCAAGATGGACGGAAGAGAGAAGTCAGGAAGCACAGTGGAGGCCTGATGCAGAGGGACCACTCTGAGAGGGGAGCATGCCCAGCGGACAGAGCGATGAGCCCTGAGCTCAAGTCTTTCACTCTACCAGCCCTGTGAGTGTGAGCATCTGCGCAGTGGAAATGATGGTGCAAATGGTCCTCACAAGAGTGTAAGCCACGTCACAGCTGGTACACTTCTCTGCCTTCCTGGCCCAGCAGAAGGGATGCCACAGGGGCTTAGTGAGTGCCTGTTGGTTTTATTCAAGAGCATAGAAGTCTGTAAGCGCAAACTAATACATAGTAAGTAAGAGGTGTGCATAAAATTCTGTGTTCTTTATTTTCTGGGGTGCCTTGAGGCAGGGCTTTGGGTGCATCTGTGCGTGTGGCTTTAGAAAAGCCCCATGGGAAGGAAGAGAGTCAGAGGAGGTCTAGGCAACCTCTGGAAGGATTTCAGTCCAGGCTTGGAGGTTGGGAAATCTGAGACATGTGCTTGGATAACAGGCAGTCCCATATGCCAGGCAGGAGACATCGATTAAGTGCCTGCTGTGTGCTGGGCACTGTTTACCAGAGGGTGGAGGGTGTGGATTGCTCTGAGCATAGGCTGACATCTGGCTCTTTAGTTTGTATGGGTGGCTTCAGATTAAGGAGGCCTTTGAATTACCAGCCTAAGAAATCTGTACCTTTCTTGTCAGGCCCTAGGGCCCCATTGATGGCTATGGAACAGAAGGGACCCGCAGTGAAGACCCGTCTCATAGTCGTGTATAGAAGGGCTTCTTCAGTAGGGCACTTAGCAGAGTAACTGAACAGGGACCTGGCTGATACTCTTTGTTCTAACTGTCCCCAAAGCAGACTAGTGACAGCGAAGGCTCTGGGCCCACTTCATAGAGAAGTGACCTTGGAGATTGGAAGATTCCCTTGGGGCCTTTCCCCTCCCAAATGTGATGGGCTGGAGGTCAGTCCAGTTAACCCTGCACCTTAGTGAGGAATGTGAATGGGTCTTTGAGGATGACAATGAAGATAGGCATTAGGTGGTCCTGGCTTATCCTTCAGCTCTGTGGGCTGTTCTCCTGGGCTCCATGGAGAATTTTGCCTGTCTTCTCTCAGGTGAGGGCATTGGGCGGAGCCCTGTTTTCCCTGGAATACTCCAGCAAAATGGCTACTTCTCTGGATAAAGGTCAGGTTCATTGATATGACTGTCAACTATATTTTTGTGGGGCACAAATTGAGGGGGGGAAAGAATCAGCTTGGTTTGGGCTTTACCTGGTTTGAGGGTATAGTGTGACAGACATCCCGGCAGAGATGGCCTGGTGCTAGAGAGATGTGAGGAGATACTCGAAGCCACAAGAGTGAGTCAGTGCACCAGGGGAGGAGAGAGGACCTTTGGGATGAACGCTGCAGGTGAGAGGTGGCACAGAGTAAGTGGCCCCCATGCTGGCTTGGGCCCTTGCATTACTCATGTGGTTTGTGGAAAGAAACACCTAGAAAGGGCCCTGGTGGGCTCTGGAAATGCAGTGGTTGCAAGTGATTGTGATGATACTTAGAGTTCCTGTTATCTTACAGTTTCAGGTATGTCCCAAAAGTTTGTGTGTTTCGACTCCTGGACATCGGACCGATCTTTTTCAGAGAAATCCTCAAAATGTGTTAATAACGGATTTCTTTGGAAGTGTGAGGAAGGTGGAGCTCACCACAGAGACGGTTTCTCTGAGACCTGATTTAAGCTCAATGGGATACAGGTATTTATATCTTACCTTGTTTATGAATAAAGCATTTTTCAGCTTCATCTGATTGCCTCCAACAGACAGCAGTTTAGATGTTAGAAGGAAGGATGTAGCTCGACTCCATTCAGCAGCTGCTTCTTACCTGCCTGCCATGTCCAAGGTTGGGAGGCCAGTTGGGGAGCTGTGGAGGCTGGGGGCATTGGTAAAGACTTCGTGTGACGGGTGAAGGTGGGGCTGACCTCTGAGCTTTGAAGGAAATAAGGGATTCTGAGAGATGGAGGTGGGGGTGACTGGGGCAAAGACATGTCATGGAGGTAGAAATGACGGTTTTGGCAGCTGCTCAGACAGGAGGAACCAAGGGGAGGGAGGAGTCAGAGAGGACACTAGATTTGAGAGCCTGGGCAGACCGGAAGGTGGCGGTGCCCTGGACGGAAATAGGGAAGTTCCAAAGAGGGTGGCTTTAGGAAAAGGCAGTGAGCGAATTTGAGGTGTCTCTGGGGCAGACATTTGGAAGGATGTGACGAGCATTCTATGATGGGTGGGGCTGCATGTGTAGATCTGGGAGGAAGAAGGTAATTAAACTCAGGGGTGCTTGGAGTGTGTAGAGAGAGAAGAGAAGGCCCTGCACAGCACTCCTTGGTACACCCGGTTAGGAAGTCAGATGCGGAGGACAGGCCAGCGAAGGAGAGTGAGAAGGAGCTGTCAGGCCTGTGCCAGGGGCTGTGCATGTCACGTAGAGTTTGTGGAAGGGAAGTGAGTGTGAGACAAGGCAGGAGGGCATCTAGAGGCCAGAGGGTGGAGGGCCAGGCTAAGGAGAGAGTGGTGGTCAGCAGCCTCTGAGGCAAGAGAGAGGGCCACAAGCTTGAGGGTGGGAAAAGCCCTTTGCATTTGGCAGCTGAGGCCCCCTGGTGACGATCGAGTGGGAAGTTTCAGGTGAGTGATAAGACGGTGAGGTTTATTTTCTAGGCTGCTAATTCCTCTGAAAATAATTTTTTCATTGTTACTATGGTATCTTAAAAGCAAAGTGATTATGTAGGAGTTCAAAGCAGCCAATGTACTAAAAACATTGTTGGTTGTAATTTGACTTTGTACATTTCACCATTAAGCTGTGTTCTGTGTGTGTGATGTCTTCTCTTAATCAAAATTTTTACCCTAGGGAAAAGTTGTAGATTGCAGGTTGAAGACATCTCTTAAAAAAATTGTTCCTGACTTTTACAGTTCTTTTAAAATTATATCTCTTTGGTGTTCCTCTGCAGTGATCCAAAACAACAGAAACAGCAGAAACTGTTCTTCATGAGATTTTAAGTTGACACCGCCCCTCGTACCCTACTACACATTTTGAACATCTGACGTAAAGTTTTGGCTTCTCTGTTCCCTGTAGTTACATGTTCTAAGAAATAGATTTTGTGTGGCCAGTAGGAACTCTGGTCATAACTCTTAGGTTGTGTAGATGATTTCCAGTTGGCTTTTTTAAATTACTAAAATACATATTGATTGTAGCCAATAGTGCAGGACAACTTAGCTAATTTAAACAGTTGAAATTTGTAGTTACTGTGCATATTGCCAGAACCATTTTAAAATTCCCATTGAATAATAAAAATAGAAAGATGTAGGATGCCTCTTTCTAGTTGCTACTTGGAGGCTCTCTGAATCATTCCCTGAGCATTCTCCCTCACTGCTCTGCCCCTCCACCGGTCCAGGTCTGCCTCTGAGTCCTCCTCCTTTAGATATTCACAGTGGCTGCCGTGGGTTGTTGCCTTTTAATCTGTGCTTTTGCAGGAGACCCAGAAGAGCACATGGGATTTGGATGAGCAGAGTCATGTTTTAGCTTGAAAGGTTGTGTTAAAGATGCACGTGCAGTGCATGAAACCAAGATTCAGGTTGTTCATAATTTTTTGTTGACTTCAGGTGGGAACCACATGCCTGCATGTCAGATGTTGGTGCTATTGAGTCATTGCGCCCTCTAGTGTTCTAAAGTGAAATGTCTTTACAATGCGGTTTTACTGGTCACCGCATTTCTCCTTTTTATGTGGTTACTTGCAGAATTCTTATTGCTTTTATTTATGTGCCGCCACGCATGGCATCCCTAAACTGCATTTTAAGGCATACATACCTCTTAGGTTCTCAGGAGGTACCCGAGAGTAGTCTGATGGACCTAATACCACGAAATGGTTTTGTGTCCTGATTATTATTACTGATGCCATTTAGGTGCTCACCATTTCTAATTCATTTCTGTTCAGCAGACCTTTATTAACTCTCTGCTTTGTGCAAGGTGCTAGGCCAGGCTCTGGGCATACAGAATAGGCCTTGTCCTCAAAGAGCTTACATTGTACCAAGAGGCCATTTTGTAGGCACAAATGAGTGTGATGCAAGGAAATTCCTTGGAGAAGAGAGACAACATTAATGGCCAGCGGGGATCAGGGAACGTTCGTGGGGAAGGGGGACCTGTGCAGGGCACGGGAGAAGGACCACGAGTCTAGGATGGTGATGAGGAGGGGGTGGCGTTCCAGGCAAGGCTTATGGCCTGTGCAGTTGCATGCTGGGAGGAAGGAGCGCTGAGCTCGGGGACACTTGGCAGCCATAGCTAGGTTGGAGTGTAGAGTTTGTGAAAGGGGAGAGTGCGAGACAAGGCTGGAGGGGTGTCGAGAGTCCAGATGATGGGGGGCCAGGCTCAGAAGTGATGAGGCGAGGCAGGGCTTCAGTTGATTACTCTGGTAGCTGTGGGAGAGAGGCCAGAGACCGCTGGTGCTTCGGTGGATTAATCTTTAAGCGTTTATTAAATGTCTGCTGTGTGCCTGATGCTGTGCTGGATGCTTGGAGGGAGTGTGTATTCTGCAGGGAGAGAGAACCTGTCTGTGAGTGTGACCTGCTGGGCTTCATGGAGGGGGCATCGAGAGTGGCGACGAGGAGAGGCCATCAGATCCAAGTCAGGCGCTTGGTGATGATGATGATGATGTGGTGCCGACTCTGTGCCAGGCCCTGGGCTGGGGCCTCTACAGTTATCCCCTCATTTGATCCTCAGTGGCTCCGGCAAAGAGGGGCTGTTGTCCCCGTTTCGCGGTTGAAGGAGCTGAAGCTGGAGGCAGTGAGGTGAATCGCCCAGGGTCACCCAGTTAGCGTAGTTAGACACTTGTCTGAGGCTGGGCTTGACTTCAGGCCCTGGGCCCCGGGCCCCCCGGTCCCCCCTCGCCACTTTGAATTCTTTCTGTTTCAGTCATGTATTGGCATGGGAAGCCAAATTGTAAGGGATTGAAAAGCAAGAGGGTGATGTGGAAAAGGAGGAAGAAATGAAACTTTGTGGGTGTTTGATATTGAAACAGGGAGAGCTGAAGAAGAAAGGATGGCAGGGCTGAGGACGGTCCAGCAAAGGGGATGGAGAAGGAGTGATCCTTCAGGTAGGAGGAGCAGGACTAAGAGAGGTCCTTGTCGTGGAAACCACCTGGAGGAGAAAGCCATCCATGGTATCAAATGGTGCAGAGAGGTCAGGAGGGGAGGGGATGGGAAAAGGCCATTGGATTGGACCACTTTGGAGAGAAGAGTTTCATTGGAGAGATGCAGTCAGAAGTTGGCGTGCGCTGGGTTAGGTAAATGAGAGGGAGCAAAAGTGTCTAGGGTAGGTAGTTTTGTCAAAGAGTTCATCTGAGAAGGGGTGGGGAGTGGGATGAGAGCCAGTAGGGGTGGTGGGCTCTAGGGAGTGTTGCTCTTTAAGGGGGGGGGCACAGCAGAGGCCGTCTGCTGCTCAAGAGTCCTTGTCAAGGGGCTTGACCTTGGGAGAAGGAGGAGAAGGTTTGAAATGGCCACTGTGGTGAGTGGAATAGAGAAATGACAAGTCAAGGGCTGTCACGTTGAGATCACATCACAGCACTTGGTGGCCCCAGGCTTCTCCCTGAAACACAGGGCTGCCTTTTCAGTCGTAATGCCCTTCCTGGGGATGCTCTGGTCTGTGCAGAACTGAAGTTGCAGTGGAGGGGTCCGTGGTGGGTTGTAAAGGAGAACTTCAGCGAATGTGTGACAAGAGACTTGGAGGAGAGAAGCCATGCTGCCTGGCAGCCGTGGCACTCCATTGGCGCCTGGGTGGGATCAGTGGAAGCTGGGAGAAGGCCTGGCTAGGACATTGGATGGACCTTCTCGGGTGAATTGATGGTGAGAGGGCGCATGTTCCTGGGGATTTGGAGTGAGGAAGCCCTACCTGACGGTGAGAATGTCCCCAGAGGTGGTCATCTGGCCAAGGCTGGACAGCCGTTGGGGGAGTGGGTCCAGTCACCTCTGGGTCTGGGCTTGATGGGCCTCAGGGCTCCTCTAGCTTGGAGGGTCCCTGTACACTTCAAAATGAGTCCTTACAGTTTTTCGCTAACTTGGGATGATAATTTTAAATAATCTGCTTTCCCCTTCCCATCACCCATCTTTGAAATGTCAGTAGCACAACTGAAAATAAAGTAACCTGACTCTGGTGTGAGCAGATTTCAGATTCCCTCGAGGTGTGCAGAGTAAGAGAATCAGGAGGACATTTCCTCATTCTGTGTGTCCCGGGCTTGGATGTAGTTGGCAGAATTTGGGGGGTGTTAGGTTAAAAATTTGGTTCATGCCTCCAGCAAACTGTCCGCTCAGGGGCTCTTGTGCTGTGGCTGTTCGGAAGTGCTTTCTTCCTAAAAATGACCTCTCTTAGCATCTTTCAGAAGCGAGTGGGTATTTAAGTGCTTTGCCATTAATGATTTTTTTCCTGTTCTCTCCACCAAATTAAAAGAAATGGCTCATTACGCCTCCTCTGGTTCCAAATCAATGCCGTATTTGACCATATTTGCTTTTTACCCATGCTCCCCAGCTGCTGGAACCGTTTCCTCTGGTCTTTTTTGTTTCTGTGGGGATTGCTTCCCCTGCAGTTTGAAAGAGCATGTTGGAAGGTTAGAATCTGAGCTTATGAATTTGATCTTATGGTCAGTGTTTGGTAAAGAGGTAAAGACCCCCTTCTTTTAGAAAAGTGTTATGGCATCCAGTGTAATTACTTTAACTGCTTT